CCTAAATCAGATAAAATGCACTTTCAGATGGCTTACGAGTCGTCTGTAGATTGGCACAACGAGTCCTTTAACCCAACAAGATGTAACAACTCCTACGTCCCAACTCAGGAGGAATACAGAGAAGGTGAGATTGACTGTCTTGATATTCGCGAATTAGGTAACGGTTGGGTTATTTCATGTTGAAACTATCATAATAGATGATTATGACAGTCGTGGTACTAGCTAATTTTATTCATTCTTGTATAAGCATTGGTTCGGAGACATATAATTCAAAATAAAAGCGAATAAAGATTGAAAGATTTCTCAAAAGATATATACAGTAGACACATGCGCGCACACACACACACACACACACACACGCACACGCATTATATATGCAGCGCAATCATACAAATTATCTTTTCCAAGCTCACAGAATAACACACAACTACCCATACCCTAAAAGGCACAGCACATGAAAATAACCCCAACACCCTCACACAGATCAACACAATGAAGCCACCCATGCATATCCTTTCAGCTCTCGGAGGCTTCTGGATGCCCCTCGTCACAGCAGGGGCTCTTATCACTATTGGCTTGTACATTCTGTTCTTCGAGCAAGTGTTCTACTCCAATGCAGGCGCGCATAGAGTGTTCAGAAGACACATTTATTGGATCGGATCCGTTTACCCGGTGGGATTCCATTGATATCTTTAATATTTGTTCTCTTGTTCTTGTTATTATCATGATAATAATGATTATAGTAGTTTTAGTAATAGTACTAGTAGTGGCCGTAGTAGCAGTAGTGGTAGTAGTAGTATTAGTAGTTGTATTATTATTATTATAATAAGTAGTAGTAATAGTAGCAGCAGCAACAATAGTAGTAGTAGTAGCAGTAATAATAATAGTAATAATAATAATTACTATTATTGCTATCATCATTATTATTACAATTATCCTTACTGTCCTTTTCATCATCACAATTATCATTTTCATTTTGTTATCATTATTATCAATTTTACTATCATTGTTATCATCATCATAATTTTAATCAACCACAACACAAACACAAATACAGTAATGTGTAGACAAAGACGAAACGAATCATTATAAGAAAGGGAAATATAAAACCGTCACGTTTCGAGAGGACAACACTCCCTCTCAGTCACACTTGCAACATCTTCATGTTTTCCGTACCACTGGAACCAACTCACCTCTATTTCGCTCCATTTAGAAACACGACAACAGTTTCCGTCTGTTTATGCTCGTGAATTAGAAACATGAGAAAATGTTTTGTTTTCGAATTAGAAATGTGACAATCTTCCTCTATTAGATTTTTGAATTAGAAATGTTACAAAGATTTACATCTAATTCTTTTTTGCTTTAGATTCTAAACAAAATTAATCTTCTATTTTACCTTTGAATTAGAAACACAACAAATATCTTCCTCCATTTTGGTTTAGAATTAGAAATACGACAAAGATCGTCCTCTTTTTTTGCTTTTAGATTCTAAACAAGGCAAAAAATCCTCTATTTTGCTTTTGAATTAGAAACGCAACAAAGATCATCCTCTTTTTTTGCATTTAGATTCTAAATACGACAAAAACTTCTATTTGTTTTTTGAATTAGATATATGACAAAGATCCTCTTTTTTTGCTTTTAGATTCTAAACAAGGCAAAAAATCATCTATTTTGATTTTGAATTAGAAACGCAACAAAGATCATCCTCTTTTTTGCATTTAGATTCTAAATACGACAAAAAACTTCTATTTGTTTTTTGAATTAGATATATGACAAAGATCCTCTTTTTTTGCAAATAGATTCTAAAGACGATAAAAAATCCTCTATTTTGCTTTTCAATTAGAAATATGACAAAGATATTTCTCTATTTTACAACTGCATTAGAAGCGGGTCAAAGATCTTCCTCTAATTTGTTTCTAAATGAGAAATATAATGATTTTAGGACAAAAACAACTAACTCTCTCTTTCGTTTGCAGTTCATGACCCTGATGAGCCTAGTTTCACTGTTGGTCCCGAAAGCCCATAACATCTGCACAGCTGCAAAAATCATGTAAGTAATTATCGATTTTTTTTTTGCATTATCGATATTTTTCGCATTTTCGTTTTTTTTCTTTCTTTCTTTTTAATATCGAGGTTTTCCTTGCATCATCACCTGTTACGGACTGTAGAAAAATATTTTGCTCATTTCGTTTCTATTTTTTGGGAACAATATATCTCAACTTTTTCCAACACCAAAGTTATTAGAGAAAGATCATGAGGAAAGATTGCATTGGTTCTTCCCTGGGAATAATAAGAGGTGCGTTATCACATATAATAGGAAAGGGGAGGATAAAAAGAGTAAAGTTTAGGTATAAGTTAACAGAATAACAATGGTAAAAGGAGAGATTTGCTGTTTAGGTATACGCAGTGCCAATAAACAACAATGAGGCTCAAGTTTTATGGAAAGATTAACAAACAAAAACAAAAACAAAAAACAAAAAACAAACAAAAAATAAAAAAAAAAAAATAGAAGAGAACTAGAAGCACTCAGAGCGCATACTTCCGTCAAGGAATTAGTATCTTTGATGCAATGAAAATATTCATACTTGGAGAATCACATTAATGATAATGATAATCATTATGGTAATAATAATAAATAAAGTGCCACAAAGTTCTCAAGTTAAATCCTTTAAAAAAATTCCTGGATCGGGATCATGACCCGGATCACCACCAAAATTTCGTCATATAAGTTGGGCAAAACACAACTTTCATAAAATTCTGTTCATAACTTTTTGAGTTATCTTACTAACCAACTATCCAACGAACAAACCAATCAACGCTACCAAGGTTCAAGCTGGTAATACGCTGATGGAATTGAAGATCTCTTTATGACTTTTCAGGACATTCCATTTTTATTAAAGACCTGGATCCACGTGTCGCTAATTACATACGTTCCCATAATGGGTAAACCTGCTTGCCGCGTCAGTGACCAAGATGATGATTTTTACACAGCCTCTCGGATAGATTACGCACCAGATTTTTTTTTTTTTTTTTTTTTTTTTTTTTGCACACGGCCCTCAAGTAAATGGTCGCGCCGATCAGCAAAGGTCAAGGTCTAATGTTGACAAATGATTTCCGATGAAGCCGCGCAGAGAGCCGCAAGTGAGTGGATCGCGACGGCGCGCCAGTTTCCGGTTGATGCCAACAGATATATGTACATTTACGAGAACAAGGATGTGCCTTTGGCAAATGTAAGAGACTGTAAGACCTGCGACAGAAACACTTCCATTTTGAAGACTTTATAAGGCCTTACATAAAAAAAAATATATATATATTTAAATAAAAACATTTTAAGACTTTTTTTAAGGATTAACGGTAACCCTAGCTACCAAAAACATAACCTCCTTTGCGAAGGTAAAAAATACGTACAGACACAAACACACACAATCCTATACACATATGTGTGTGAACTATTTCCAAAGAAATTTGAAATTCAATTACTGCCCCCAAAGACAAGTAATGAAGCCTTTGACAACCGATCTGAAACAAACTCGAATCGCAAGGGAAGTTTTTTTTTTTTTTTTTTTTTTTTTTTTTTTTTTTTTTTACTCATACTGGATATTTTTCTGTGGTTATGTTCGTGGAAATTACAAATAATATACTATGTGTTTAACAGAATCGATTTGATATGATATTTATATGATATATATTGTTGATATGATGTATGAGATGTACTGTTATATGATATAGTCCTAGTGCCTATATGATATACTGTTTATACGATATATACTGTTTATATGGTGTGTGATATAATTGTTAATATTTCAATCATTATTTGTAGATGCCTTGTGTTTCCTATCATCATGGAAATCGCATTATCGTATTTAGACAATGAACTCGAATCATGAAGCAACATAAGCTCTTATCAAACATCACTTCAGCGGGATTAGTGTAGGTATTGTTCCTATCTATTAATCGGAAACCTTGCATGGGACTGAAGTAAAAATTGAATCGGAAAAAGGTAGATTGTCAGTTCATTCATATCTGATATTGCGTTTCGATGAAAGACTTATTTTCAATTTCTGTCCAATCGTTGGGAAATGGGCGTAAAAAGTGTGTGTATGTATGCTTTTTGTGTACGTGTCTGCGTGTGCGTACGTGTGTGTATGTGTACGTGTACGTGTCTGCGTGTGTGTACGTGTTTGTGTGTATGTGTACGCGTCTGCGTGTGTGCTCGTGCTTGTGTTGGTGTATGTGTGTATGTGTCTGCATGCATGTATCTCTGTGTAAGACAATTGCCAGATAATTCAGCCCCCCCCCCCTCCCTTCTTACAGCTACATGTCAATCGGCATCAGTCACTTCGGCGACCTGACCGTGCTCATGTTTGGGAGTGAGGAGGTGATGCTTGCAAAGACAGAAGGCAGCAAACTCAACTTGCAAGTCGGGCCTACCTGCTGCTGTTGCAAATGCCTCCCTTCGCCCGATGTGTCGAAGTAAGTGGCTTTCGGAGGTTTAAGTTTCAACAGAATGCGATAACTTTGTGTGAATTATTGTTCTTTGGCTTAATAATATAGATTTCGAATGTTTATTATGATAATTACTGATGACCTTATGTTTTCTTGTTTTCTCTTTTTTGTCTTCTCTTTTACGAAATGATGTTGAATTGAATTATGATCGACGCATTTACGAAACAACGTTAAAACAGAAGGATAGAAAAGAAATATAACCCACATTCTTTCCCTCTTTATCATCTTCCTTTCATTCCGCAAATTTTCCACATCATTTCCCACTCGCTTTCAATCCTACTATTTGCCTGATTTACCGGCTTTTAGGCTCAGTATTCGACTCATTTCCCGCTCACTTTCAGGCTTAATATTCGCCTGAATTTCCGGCTTTCAGGCTTAATATTAGGATATTCCGCTCACTTTCAGGCTTAATATTCGATTAATTTCCCTCTCACTTTCAGGTTTAATATTCGCCTGGTGTTGTGGCTGTGCGACCAGATGCCCTTCACTCAGGCTGCTTACTACCTCGCGCTCCTCGTCCTCATCGCTGGCAACATGGCGACGCTGGGAAATGTGAGACAACTTTGGTTTGGAGTCGCGTCGGAAAAAAAGAGAAAAAGAAGGAAGCCGCACACACACACACACACACACACCACACACACACACACACACACACACACACACACACACACACACACACATATATATATATATATATATATATTATATATATATATATATATATATATATATATACTATATATATATATATATATAGTATATATATATATATATATATATATATATATATATATATATATATATATATATATATATATATATATATATATACTGTATATATATATATATATATATATATATATATATATATATATAATATATATATATATATATATATATGGTATATATATATATCTATATATCTATATATATATATATCGTATATATATATATATATATATTATATATATATATATATATATATATATATAATATATATATATATATATATATATATATATATATATATATATATATATATATATATATATATATATATATATATATATATATATATATATATATATATATATATATATATATATATATATATATTATATATATATATATATATATATATATATATATATATATATATATAATATATATATATATATATATATATATATATATATATATATATATATATATATATATATATATATATATGTACACACACACATACACATATACATACACATATACATACCCCACACACACTCATATATAAGCGTGTGTATGTCATATGTGTGTATGTGTCATATAACACTAATCAATAAAAAAGCGTAATTTTTCCTCATCATTAAGGGCAGGCCAAAAAGGATAATTTATTTTACTCAATAACCCCCCCCCCACACACACACACCAAGTATACACACTCTTCTCAAGTTCTTTGTTAAGTATCAATTATCCTCTATGGCTCCTCGTATATAATTACATTAAGGAATAATAAAAAAAACAAAGGATATCAAATAATGAGTTTAATCCTAACTTTAACAGCTGGTAATTTACAATATAAATTAATCCGGTTCATGTTTTATCGTGCTACTTACAGTTATGTGTGAAATAATTCCTACTGCTCTATGATGGCAGTGATGATAAGCTAACATTTCTCTCTCTCTCTCTCTCTTTCTCTGTCTGTCTGTCTGTCTGTCTGTCTGTCTGTCTGTCTGTCTGTCTGTCTCTGTCTGTCTCTCTCTCTCTCTCTCTCTCTCTCTCTCTCTCTCTCTCTCTCTCTCTCTCTCTCTCTATATATATATATATATATATATATATATATATATATATATATATATATATATATAAGGAAACATTCACAATAACAAATGAAATTAAATGGGAACGATTCGAACTGGTCAAGAGTTCCTCATCACACTGACAAATAACCAAAATGCAGTTTTATTTCGGTTATCTATTCGTCTGATTATCATTATCATTAATATTGTTATTATTTATTTTATCTTTATTATAATCATCATTACCATTATTGTCACTATCATGATTACACTAATAGTAATGTTAATAGTAATAATAACAATAATGATAATAGTAATAATAACAATAATTCTAATAGCAATAATAACAATAATGATAATAGTAATAATAACAATAATGATTATAGTAATAATAACAGTTATGATAATAATAACAGTAATGATAATAATAACAATATTCATTATCATTACTAATACTGTTACCAGCATTACCATTATTACCACATTCTGAAAACTTCCATCACTTAACCTTTCTCCATCCTCCATCCTCCATAGACATAAAATAATCATACAAACCAATGCACTCAAAATCAAAACAAAAATAACTTCCCCTTTAATTTTTCAGGTCGATCCAAATGGCGTTTTTCTGTGGCTCAATCTTTTCAATTTTGCTTCCTTTATGGGCGGGCTGTACGGTCTGCAGATCTTGCTCTATTTCTCCAAAGGACATCTAGAATTCTACAACTATAAGGTAATGTGGTTTAAGTGTGGTATAAGGGTGGTATAAGGGTGGTATAAGTGTTTTGGAGAGTCAGGTGTCTTATGGTGTGTGTTTGTGGGAGTGGGCGAGTTTGTATGTTTGTGTTTGTGCTTGTTTTTATTAGTGTTTGTGTTTGTCCTTGTTGTTATTTGTGTTTGTGGGAGTGGGCGTGTTTGTTTGTTTGTGTCTTTGCTTGTCTTTATTTGTGTTTGTGTGTGTGTTTGCGTCTGTGCCTAAACATGTGTATATATTTTTGTTTGTTTGTATAAGTATTCATGTTTGCGTGTACATGTATGCGTGTTAATGTGTTCGTCTGTCTCTGTGTGTTTACATATGTGTCCACGGGGTTAACTGCTATTTATGCTTCAAAGATCTGCAAAAATTACTGAAAAAGTCCTCTTCAGTTGACTTTCTCTGTCTGGTGAATATTTCATTGTCAACGTCTTCAGTTCTCTATTAATAGTTAACATTAAGTGAGATTAAAAAGACATTTCAACATTTCTAGAGCAAAATCAAAGCAAAATGAAAAATGTTATTTTGATAAACAGATGATGTGAGTGAAGAGTTAAGACATATTGATTGAAGCGGCATTACTCTAAATGATTACAGATATTTACATATTAATCTGGTTGAAAGTAAGGGTCGATCATATGGTTCGCTCCATTACGTAATTAATTCACATACCTCGTTCTACACAAATTATAATTATGTTTCCAAGGGTTAGACTAATCTTCATTCTGAATTTCTTTCCGTTACTCTACAAAAATAAATCTATAAACAGAGCAGTTCAACCGTGTTTGTATTAATTGATTTATCTATTAGTATTGCAGTGTCGTTATCAATTTATATTATCATTATTAACTGATATTATTCACGTGTTATGAATATTTCACTCCTTTATTATCTTACTATTAACACAAGTTTACATTTTTTTCTTTGTTGCAAGAGATATAAGACTTAATTTTAGACATTTCAGGGGCGGCGATCTCGAATATCACATTTATTTCCTCTCATTGGCTCTAGTTCTCTTGCAACTGAAACTCAAATTTTCAGGGAAAAAGTAAAGCAGTACTGTATTTGTCATATGTATCAATATAAAAAAAACGAAAAAAAGTGAGTAGAAACTAATCATTTAGATACTAGATGGAAAAAAAACTAAAGAATGCTTGAAGAAACACAAGAAAAAAATCTATCATGTCAGTTTACATGATTTTTATGGCCAAAAGTCAAAACTTAAGCAGAAGTCACCGACAAGTCAGCAGTAGTCAACAGTCATATCCTTGTCCCAACAATCTTTTTCTTCGTTGATTTGGGTGTCTTGATGAAAACATTTAACCTGCTATTCGCTCACACCCTCAAGGTTTTCCGAAAACTGGCCTAGATGGCTGTAGATATATTAGACTTTGATGCTCATATTTGTTCATAAGCCCTGGAGGCCATATTTTGGACAGTTCTTTGTAATTACTAGATTTGAGATTTCCATGGAAGTTCTCAACCAAAACCCCGTAAAGAAGCCCATGCGTAGGATTCATCTGATATCATGACTATAATGAAGTTGGGATCCTTTCAATTTCTTACCACCTTTCAATTTCTTATCACTCAAACTAGGAAATGTGTTGCATATGTATTTCAAGCAAACATCCTTATTCAGAGGCGGGGCTTCCATGGTGGCACGGGGGGAACCCACCCCAACAATCTGATTGGCCACCCCGTGTACCCCCCAATGGTCATTGACTTCGTAATTGCCCCCTGTATATATAGTGTGGCGGCCTCCCAGATTTATTGTTGTTACCCCCTGCGCCCCCACCAGAAAATCCTCTGGACAGAATGTTGAGATTTAGCACAGCTCCAGAAACAAAGAAAGCAAGGATATATTGCGAACATGTGATGTAGCCCTAGAAGAATATTGACCTTTTGAAATCACAACAGAGAACCCAGTTGTTTATTTTTATAGTGGGATCATAGTGTTATTTGACCGCTGATGAATGGGCTAATGGCATATCCATTGGTGTTATGTTGTAAAACACATTTCAAGCTCCGTTTTGAGCTATCGATGAAAAGTCGCTAATTGTCAGGCAAATAATCATTAAGGCCCACCACTGCTAATAGGCCTGAAACATGGTGACAAAATTTTCATCGTAAAAGAAAGGTACAAACTCGGCAGATCTTCGATAAAAGAAATGTTTGTCCCACTTTTCAACATTCTCTTTTCTTTTAGCATTGAGGCTAAAAGTACAGAAGATTCTTTGAAGAGGTGCAAATCTGTTACCAAATCGTTCAATTCTGCCTGAAAGAACGCAGAGGCGATTGTTTCTGAGCAAAAATCAGGATCGGTGCTCAAGGCCTTGCAGTCGCTTTGGCACTGTCATTCAGTGTTGTTTACATTCGTATCTCTGGGGGCATTTATAGGCGCATATTGGAGATTCAGTGGTCTGGACACTTTATAACGTCGATGTCTTCCAAATCAAGTAACGAAGAGAAAACAGGGACGTGTAAAGCCTCACTGTGTGGTGCTGGCCGACGAGCAGAAGAACGATCACGGTATTCAATGAACTTTCCTTTGGTCTTCGAGGCTCCAACAGCATTAGTGAGACAAAAGTAACAGTCATACACATGGTTCCGTGGTTCTCACTACACCATGTGGATCCCACATATCAACGAAGCTCTTCCTTTCGTTCAGTGATGAAGATAATTTCCACAGTTATTGCAGATGATGCGGTGTTTAGTTTTTATCTTGATCATCAACCTTTACCTCAAAATATGCGTGGTTGTCTTGTTTTACAATACTGCTGACTTGCTTTCGATTGTTAATCAATTTCGCAAACGAAATAAAAAAATATCTGGAGAGTTTTTGTGCAGGTTCTTCTTGAGGTAATGACTCTAAGCAAAAAGCAAATTATTATTATTTTTTTGCTCAGCTTTAAAAAGAAAGCAAGGAAGAATAAGCAAATACATATAAACCAACGATGTGTATTAGTTCAGTTCGATAAGAGGCCATTCATAAAGAATTATGACATCAATGAAATTTTAAGAAAAGAAATATCATATCAACAAACAAACATACAAACCAAAAACACGACAGGCTCCAAAAGGGAAATCACATGAATGGAAACCTTCAGTGCAGACAATGTACGATAGTAGTCTTAATTGGAAATACATAAAAGACCTGTAAAACCTATTCATTCAAATGCTATTCATCCACTCAAATTATCCTTAATTCTTCACTTCCTTATTCATTTATCAACATTCCATCCCATATTCAACCCCCTTATCCTTTTATCCTTCCAGGGAAAGTCTACCTCGGTGAAAATCCTCATCTTGATAACAAACCTGCAGAGTTTTATCTTCGACATCATGGGAAACTACAATGCTTTTCCTTGCGTTGCCCCGTACCTCTCCCCTGCGGTCTATAAGATAAGTAAGGACCAGAGTGACTGCGTGTTAAGAGAGAGTGAGGGAGGGAAGGGGAAAAGGGGAAGGAGGGAGGGAGGGAAGGGGGAAGGAGAGAGGAGGGAAGGGAAAAGGGGAGGGGGAAGGAGGGAGGAGGGAAGGGGGGAGGAGAGATTTAAGATTTAGATTTAAGATTTAGTTTTAATTCCATTTGTTACAATGGATATTCTTTGCTGTGACATACTGTCTGTTTTTTGCCCAAATCTCCCCTTGTGTGCAGAGTGGCCGGGGTCACCACTCACTGGCCGGGCGTGGGATTAAACGCAGGTCCGCAAGATTGCTAGACTAGCACCTTACCGCTGCGCCAGCACAGAGGGAGGTGGACAGAGGGGGAGGGAGGAGGAGGGAGGGAAGGAGGAAGGGAAGGAGGGAAGGTAAGGGAAGGAAAGGGAAGGAAAGGGAAGGAAAGGGAAGGAAGGATGGATGGATGCATGGATGGATGGATGGATGGATGAAGAGAAAAGAAAGAGAAAATTAGAGACGGGAGTGTAAAGAAAGACCTAAATTCATGTACTAATCAGTCAATAACGTGCTTAGTGTGTGTTAAACAGACATTTTGATCCAGCCTAGGGGTTACTAATAAACAAGGTAATACACAGAAAATAGAAATAATTTAGGGAGAAATATTGCACCAATCTCGACCTCTTTGATCATAACACTGAGAAGAAATAGACTGAAAAGTTTTGGCTTTTTCTATCTACAGTTCCCCCTTTTCATTCTTTTTTCTTTCTTCTTCACTTTGATTTCTTTAGCAAATGTAGGACAAAAAAAGCTTCCTAGTTTACTAAGATTATCTCGAAATGCCGTTACTCAATAAAACAAAGAAGAAAAGAAAGGCAGAAAAAAAATGTTTGCCTCACAGATTGTACATATATTTCTAACCTTTAATAACTCAAAATACTTTCACCATTTATCCATTTTTCCAAAAAAATATTGATCAACATAACCACAGAATCTCCCTCTCTTCTCCCCTTCCTCCCCAGCCATCGTGAACTCCCTCTACATCTTCGAAATGATGGTACTCGGGAGCTACACGTACTGGCAATACCACAGCCACGAATTCCTCAAGCCCAACCCGGCGGACGTCGAGGACCTGCACAAAGCCGAGGGAGACACCGCCAGCGTCACCACATCCATCACCATCGTCGGGGATGCTGAAGGAGGGACGTCGCGCCAGGAGACCTCCCAGATCACGGTGACGCCACAGATAGAGAGGTCGGAAGGGTCGTCCACAGAAAACCCATTAGTCGACGAGATGCAAAGGGGACAGTATGGGGCTGTTGAGGCCATTACGGAGCAACCCAGGGCTTTTAATGGTGTTCCGTAGGTCTGCCTTATAGTGGTGCTGTTATTAGAGGCTTTTAGAGAAGGAGGATTCAGAGAACTGCTTCAAAATATACGGAGCACACAAAACTATATAGATTTTCTCATACGATTATTGTTATTATACTCATTATTATTATTATTATCGTCATTATTGGTATTATTGATATCAATATTACAACTACTGCCACTTCTACTGCTACCACGACTATTATTACCATTTTTCTTTATTATTATTATTTTCAGCTTTGCTATTATTATTATTATCATTATTACCATTATTATTTTCATTATCAATATCAGCGTTATTTCCATTATCATGATTATTATTTTAAAGATATCAATAAGAATAATGACAATGATGAAAAATGATAATTATCATAATTGCCTCCGTCAAGGAGGTTATGTTTTTGGTCACATTCTTTTCGTTGTGTAGTTTGTTAGTTTGTTAGCAGAATAACTCAAAGATTTGTGAACAGATGTTTATAAATTTTTACTTGAGGTGTTTCTTTGCTTAACTTAGATGTCCCTCAATTTTGGTGTCGATCCGGGTATTGTTTGTTCGTTTGTAAGCAGGATAACTCAAAAAGTTTTATGATTTTTTTTTACCAGAGGTGTGTCTTGGCCCAATTTAGATGCCATAAGTAGTGGATCCGGATCATGATGCGGATCCAGGATTTTTTCTTATTGCATCAATAACCCTATTGCTTGGCGGAGGTATGCGCTCTTTGAGTACTTCAAGTTATTACTATTATTATCATCATTAGCAGCAGACATACCATTCAAGGAAAAGCTTTTCCATCTGTAGAGTTATCGATTTTTAGTTTGACAGACGATAACAAAGGAAACTGAAATCATGTAACAAATTCATATATTGAATAAAGAGTTCTTTATTAGGATCTAAGAAATACATAATTCCTATTTTTATCCAACCTTTCTAATGCAACGTCACCGTTTTCTTCCCCATCTCACGTGCTTTATTTATTTAAGAAAAGTGGAGGGGGACTAAATAATACCGAAACTAATTTATGATTTTTTTATGAAGATAAATATTGGTCGGCGATCAGTCATGTATGAATATACACACACACGAACGAATGCCCATCTATATCTGTATATATCAGGGATAAATATCTCATAAATGTACAAGAAACCATCCTTGAACCCACACTCGGACATTTTTTTAGCCACTAAATATCAAAAGACATTACAACTGATCCAGGCCCACGCTTTGTGGTCCATGTTATGGCTCAAGCCCACCAGATCAACACTGACCGCTCCATTGGTAGAGGTCAGAACGGAACCAGGTCAGCCTTGGCTCTGTGAAGACGTCCCGCAGGGTGAGCTTCACTCCCCGCACCATTTCGCAAGGAAGAACTTGTCCTGAACACTTTCCCTAGCAGTTGTGCTCATCCCCCACCACATCATTGTACCTCCTTTGTACCTTTACGATACCCTAGAGCTTCTTTATACATCATTATATCCTGTTTATATATCTATATAAATGCATACGTAGATGTTCACAATTACATACACGCATATTTATAAACTTTTCTTCATTCTGCGGAAGAGAGTGCGGGGACTATACTGAAATTATGCCAGGAGTAATATTCTTTATTGTGTTTATAAGAGTTTCATTATGTATTCCCTTATTTTTGTTATTAGAGGATAAAGATAATAAGGTAACACAAGGCATCATATCAAAGACTGCCACAATTTGCACTGATGTTTATTTATGAGCCAAGGTTTAGAAAACTCATTTAATGTAAAATCTTAAAGAGGCAATACACAATTCTTCCACATCATATATGGCAACTGCTCTAGTATAATATCATAGTTTTCTTTCTGAAATTTGATTTCAGTCGGTTTTAGAAAATTATGTTACATAGATGAAGTTTGATTCATCTTTATGCGAATGATACGGTGTGTAAATGGCCGACTGTGAGCACTGATAACAAGTCAACCATACGTTGAAATAGACACTAACAATGTTATTTCTTGTTTATACTCGCTATGTTCCACATTATTCTCTTCATTGGTAATATATAGAAATGAAAATATATTATGGCAGTTGACGTTTCTTGCCATTGGCATTTCGCACATACCATGCTAGGCAAGAAGGCAGTGGCCAGGTACTTTGTACTTTTTGTACTGGATTCATTATTCAGTACATGTGTGAATACGCAGGCTCATTTACAATCTATCGAATAACTTTTCTTGTACTTTTTAAAAATGACACCCGAATCAGATGTTTTCGTCGTGAAAGCGACAGATAAAAAAATCTGTCAAACATCCACGAACGATTTCAACGTCTATTTTTTTTTCTAATTATGCGAAGCGTATTGACACAACTACAACTGGCCAGAAGCAGAGTTTTGATATTTTTTAAAAATTCAATCAACATTTAGACCAAATTTTCTCTTATTTTATGACTATACTCGATCGTTGACTTCCTGGGCTGCTCTGCCACACACGTGCTACTTCGAGTGTGCGTCTGAGGCAACACAATGGCCGACAAATCGACGTAAGCCGAGTGGTCCTCGTGAGGTCCTTGAAGGTCCCTCGGAGGTCCTCCTCCGACAGCAGGACCTTCAGCCTGAAGCGACTTCGAGATGGTGGTGATGCCGACCTCCTTCGGGGAGTCTCTCGCGTGCAGGTGTCTCGGTTCCTTCGGGTTGGCGGTCATGAAAGCTACGTCGTGGAACTGCCAATAGGTGTATGGGCCGAGGATCATCATCTCGATCAGGTATATGCAGTTTTCGACGGCTGGGGGGGGAGGGGGCAAGATGCCGGTTAGTGAATTTAGGTTCTGATTTATTATAAATAGAAATTCACATGCAGTATAAGCAATCTATCTATTTAATTATATCAGTATCTATCCATCTCTCTATCTTCATCTCTTTACCTATCAATCTCTTTTGCTGTATCTATCTCTCTATGTACATTACGAAAAAAAATCGTGATCTAGAAATAGACTCGTTTCTGGTTAATCTACGTTAGCATGAACCAATTGAAATGACGTGCATTAAAAGAGACAAAGGGTCACCTAGAAATGATTAATCGCGGAACTACAAACTCGTTTATTTCCAGTCTACGTTCGTTTGGAACACAAAAAAGAACATTTAAACTGAGAGAACTTGTATAAACAAAGCTAAATAAAATGCAAATGATTCATTTACGTATATAAATTAATTCATAAATATGCATAATTGCATACACACATATTTATAAACTTTTCTTCATTTACGTTCAGTATATTCTACCTAAGGAAGAGCGTCCAAACCCCAATCCAATTTCACTGTGCTTATCTAAGACAACTATTCATCTGCGACATACTATCCAGAAAAAAACGATCACCAAGACATTATCTTTCTTGGTTAAAAACAAAAACAAATCCCGGACTTACTTTGCTTGTAGACGCGCGGGGAAATGTAAGGGCTAATGCAAGGGAAGGCGTTGTAGGTCGCCATGATGTCGAAGACAAAGCCCTGCAACTTAGTGACAAGGACGAGCGTCTTCATCGAAAACGACTTTCGCTGCCAATGAGAGAGAGAGAGAGTGAGAGAGAGAGAGAGAGAAGAGAGAGAGAGAGAGAGAGAGAGAGAGAGAGAGAGAGAGAGAGAGAGAGAGAGAGAGAGAGAGAGAGAGAGAGAGAGAGAGAGTGCGGGCGTTTAACATGGTAACCTTAGAGTTTTTAGTTAGGGGTTGAGTCCCTATTTTTCCTGTGGTTTGTTTAAATAAACGTCTGTTCAAAGAAAGATATCCCTTTGGGGAGAATAAAGATTTTGAAAAACGACAAAAACATCTAAAAACATCATCATCAGTTTTTTGAATGAATAAAAAAAAAAAAAAAAAACAAAAGCAATCATCAGACCATTAAAGTAACCGATTAAACAATATAAATAACCACGAAAACAAACATACAAACAAGCGAAAACAAAATAAGACTTACCTTGTAGTTATAGTCCTCCAGAGGTACCGTTCCTGCTTCTGCCATGATCTGGAGGGCATAAACACCACAGATAAACGAGGTGAAGTTAAGGGTGTTTAGCCACAGGTAGTTTTCGTTCGGATCGACCTGTTGTGAAGAAGAGGAAAAGAGCATTAGGGTTGTTAGGCTGTTGGAATCAACTTGCTGCAGAAAAGGGGGCGGAGAGGAAAGGAGCATTGGGGTGGTTGGGTCTTATAGTATTAATATCTATACCGTTTATGAGCCTTGTGGTATGGTGAAATATTAGACTGGATGAAAGGTGCTATTATTGGATATTTGGTAAATAAATGGAGAGATAGAGAGATAGAGAGATAGAGATAGAGATAGAGATAGAGATAGATAGATAGAACGAAAGACGAAAAAGACAAAAAGACAGAAATACACCGACAAAAAATAAGACAGACCGGAGCAAAAAAACAAAGCAAAAAGACACAGAAAGAACAAGAAAAGCACACGAGAACCAGCCGCAGATCGCAAGAGTAAACATTCTCAACTCACAGTGCCATCGGACTCGCTCTCAGCCACGGACCACAGGAGAGTCATGATGAAGTAGATGGCCTGTGTGTAGGGCATCTGCCACAGCAACCAGCGGACGATGCGGATACGGGTCCTGGAAGGTTAAGGAATCGCTTGAACTGGTGAGATTTGTTATGATTTAACGTAGATATTTATTTTAAATCAACTATGAGATTTGTTATGATTTAACGTTAGATATTTATTTTAAATCAATATGAGAGTTGTTATGATTTAACGTAGATATTTATTTTAAATCAACTATGAGAGTTGTTATGATTTAACGTAGATATTATCAACTATGAGAGTTGTTATGATTTAACGTAGATATTTATTTTAAATCAACTATGAGATTTGTGTATGATTTAACGTAGATATTTTATTTTAAATCAACTATGAGATTGTTATGATTTAACGTAGATATTTATTTTAAATCAACTATGAGATTATGATGATATATGATTTACAACTATGATGTTATGATTTAACTTCGAGATTTATTATAAATCAACTTTGAGATTTATCTTAATTTAAGTATGAGGTAAATTATAATTTCACTGAGAGACTTATCACAATTAAACAAAGGGATTTATTATCTAACTAATTAAGAGTTTTATTGTAACATTTCAACTAAGAGACTTATTGATTAACCTAACGAAATAAGAGATTTATTATGATGATTTAACTAAAAGATTTAAAATAATCTAAGACATTTAACATAACCCAACTAATTTGGAGTTTTGTTATGAGATTTTAACAAAGACATTTATTAAGATTTAACGAAATAAGATATTTTTTATGATAATCTAAGATATTTATTCTGGCAATCTAACTGATATTTATTATAATTTAAGTAATTAAGAGATTTATTATGGCAATTTAAGATATTTAAAATGATTTAACAAATTAAGAAATTCATTATGAGAACTTAAGTGACAAAGATTTATTATGGTAATTTAATATATTAAGATATTTATGATCATTTAACTGATTAAGATATTCAAGATTTTTGAATTAAGAAATCTATTATGATAATCTAAGATATTTATCATGATTTAACTAATTAAGCAGTTTATTGTGAATCTGTGACAAATAGATTTATTATGATAATTTAACATATTAAGAAATTTATAATCATATAACTGATTGAGTAATTTGTCATAATTGAGCTATTCATGACTGAAAATTAAGAGATTTATGTTATGGTGTTGAGGAAAAATATAACAATAAGTGATTTGAGACTGTAGACGAAAAATATGAGGACGAGAGCCAGTAAGGACAACTGTCAGCACAACAATCTTCTTGTAGGTCTTAAAATAGCGAGTTTTGTGTTCTCATTTTTCTCACTTTCCATATCTTTCTTTGCTTTTCCTTAAAGTCTCTCTCTCTCTCTTACTTGTTAACGGGAAAACAAGTCATCAACAATCTTTCTTGTTAACGTGAAATAACAATCAGCGTCATAATAGTACTCGTTTACTCATACTTTACTAAGAGTCAAAACAATCACACTTACCAACAATCACGACATTCTCCAACAACCAAACATACCAACAATCACAGTGCAATCACCACCGCAATCCTCCTTATTAACGAAAAAAAAACAGTCACCAACAATCATACTTCTTAACAGTCATTGCAACGAACAGCAATCACACCAAAGGGAAACAACACAATCACCAACCACAGTCTTACTTGTTCACGGGCGGCGAGGGGAGGCACCGCATACAGCAACACCAAGGTCCAACTTGAAGGTTCAGTGGCCTGCCCTCGAGGTAAGCCAGCATTGCCTTCTCACTTCCGAACATGCCTGTGGTCAGGTCAGTGAAGTGGCTGATTCCTATGGACATGTACCTGTGTGTTAATGGGTTGTGAGTTGGGTGTGTGAATGGGGTGTGAGTTGGGATTGTAAGCGGGTTGTGAATGGGTTAAGATTTTTGGGGTAAATTTTTGAGATTCTGATATGTGTATTTTTTTTTTTTTAGAGTATTATTATTATTTTATTTTTTCACTTTCCATCTCTCTCTCTCTCTCTCTCTCTCTCTCTCTCTCTCTCTCTCTCTCTCTCTCTCTCTCTCTCTCTCTCTCTCTCTCTCCCAAATACATTAAATTCACAGATTCCTACTTACGTGACTTTTACAGCTGTGCACAGTGAGTCCGCCCTGGGTATGGCTGTGGCGATCACACTCATCATTGTCATAACCTTCAAGAAATCAACATGAAAAAACGATGAGTAATTTAACAACAGCATCAGTTAATGAATGTTGGTTAACGTTAAGATTAATGAATAGCATAACACAAGTAATGATGCGTTTGATTATATATATATATATATATATATATATATATATATATATATGTATATATATATATATATATGTATACACACACACACACACACACACACACACACACACACACACACACACACACACATATATATATATATATATATATATATATATATATATATAATATTATATATATATGGTGAATATTGATGAGTTAGTTGTGCATGGTATTAGGAAACCGTAAACTAATGAACTGGTTACAGATTAAATATATCATGAATTAAGAATGTCTTTAATATAACGAAGACTAACATCACATTTGTGAATCAAATTGATAAGATAGACACTAAACTAATCACTTCTGTAATAAAATTGTAATCACTCTAAAACAAATCGGTTAAAATCAGTATCACTTGCACCAAGTAATCATCAAAACCAGGAAAAACAGGATTAAAGTTATAATGTGCTTATTTTGCGATTGCATTTATGTAATCTGATCCTGTTATAAAGTTCTGAGTACTGAACATATTTTGTCTTAGTTTTATTGACAAGAGCGACATCATTTGATTGACTGCAAACAGCACAAGCGCCATATTGTAATATATACTACTTGACAACCTATTCCATATCGGAAACACTGATTTTGACGACGTTTTACGAACACTAATATTTCGAGTGCACAACCACGTGTCGAGAAATGCTACTAAAACACAAACAACAAACAACAAAAAAATAAACACCTCAAAGAACAAAATGATTCCAAAGAAAACTGCAAAACACGAAACAGAGAAAACGAAACCTTTGCTTACTGGGTAGACTGAAGTAATCCAGATGATATGTCTTCTGAAGACCTTGTGGCACGTGGTGTAGGTATAGTAAACTTGTTCAGCGAAAAGGCCGAATAAAGCGATGGTCAGAATCACTCCTGAGGTCAGCATCGAGACGCCAAAGTCTCCCAAAGCTGGAAATAGAAAGTTAATGAACTTATCTGAGACATCTTTATTTTGATGGCAAAAATTAGGTAATATGTTCGTTGTCTGATTTTTCTTTATTATCCGGATATTTTCATAAGCCTTAAGATTTTTTTTTTATAGTAAGGAGAATAATTGGCTTAATACCGTTTCACCTTCAATTAATATTGTTAGTTATACAACAGAAATAGATGTACGAATGATGATGCTAATGATGATAGCTATAAAAGACAATGATAATATCAACAGCAACACTAATGATAATGATCATTAGAAATACGAGTGATCACAAAAATAACGATAATGATTATGGTAATAATAGCAATGATAATATAATAAAGCTCATGATGCTTATAACAATGATGAAAAGGGATATGACAACAACGATAACAAGAACAACAACAAAGATGATGAACAAGAACATTGGTAAAAGTAAGGAAACGAAATCGCCAACTTTCAGCCATTCTCTCCCTCATATACTGTTATCAGCGTTACTTCCTTCTTCTCTTATCATTCTCCGGTACAAATTGATAAGCGATGCGTCATGCTCCGTGCGGGGGAGGAGTGGGGGAGTGGGGAGTGGGGGAGTGGGGAAAGGTAGGGGAGGGGGAGGCGGAGAAAGGTTAGGAGTGGAGGGGAAAGGGGGGAGTGGGGAGAGGGAGGAGAGGAGTGGGGAGAGAAGGGGGTGGTTGGGGGTAGGAGGTATGGATGTGGGGAGGAGTGAGGTTGTGGGAAAGGGAGGGGGAGGAAGGGGGGAAGAAAGGAGAAGATAGGGGAGGGGGAGAGGGAGAGAGAAGAAGGATTGGGGAGGAAGTGAGGTGGAGAGGGAGGGAGATGATGCAGTGGGAGAAGAAAGGGTGGAGGCAAGGGAGAGAGGAAGGAGAAAAGGGCGGGCGAGAGAAGTGGGACGAGGCAAGGGAGAGAGGAAAGGGGAATAGATAAGGGGAAAATCTAAGGGTAAGGAGGTGAGGGAGGTAGTAGGGAGGAAGGGATAGGGAGAGTAAGGAAGAGGAATCGAGAGAGAGAGAGAGGGGAGAGAGGAGAGGGCAGGTGAAAGTGGAAAGGGAAGGCACGAGAGGAGAGGGGAAAAGAGGGGGGAGGAGGCGAGGGAGAAAGGAAGGGGAAAGGGAGAGTGAGAAAGTGGTGGAGAGCGAAAGAAAGTGGAGAAAACAAGGAGGAAGAAGTGAGAAAGGAAAGGTGATAAAGCTGAGAAAATAAGGGAGAATTAGGGGGAATGGAGAAGGCGAGAAGGGAAAGGAAGGAGAGGGGGAGAGAAGTATATATTCATTTGTAGGAGAAGAAGAGAAGGGAGGAGAGGAGAAGAATGGGGCATGTGGTGAGGAGGCGAGGGAAAGAGGGAGGGGGGGGGAGGTGAAAGCTGAGGGGAAGGGGATGGAGGTGGGGGAGAGAAGAGAGAGAAGGGGGGGGAGAGGTGAAGAGGAGAAGAGAGGAGTAGGGGGAAGAGCCCCAGGATGTCGGAGAGGGAGAGAGGAAGGATAAGAGAAGTAAGGAGAAAAGAGGTAGGAAAGGAAGGGAAAAAGAAGGAAGAAGAAGGGAGGAACAAGAGGAAGGAAGCGAGTAGATGAAGTAGGGGAGGGGGCGAGGTGGGAGAGAAAGGAGGGGAGGCAATATATATATTTTTTCATAATCATTACTTTTATTTGATGTTATCACTGACAGAAATCAGCTGCTTGAACACACCATTGTTCTGTGAAGATAGTAGGATAAAAAAACATGTCCCGTGGAAGAATTTCCTCTCAGAAATATGTTGTCGGCAATACAGGGTGACGGTGATAACGCCAAATAAAAATATATAGGAATGAAAATGATTTACAGCTACAGTTTTAATCAGAGTTATTGAATGGCTGACTTCCGAACGAATAATTAGGACGGCGGCGATGATAACGACAATGAAATTTAACGGACTGTATTTATGGTCAATTTACTAGTGATAAAAAATGAGGAAACAATAAAAAAGTCTTGTGGGAAAAAAACATTACTATATTTTATTAATGGTTTGCAACGTATAAGACATTTTGAAATGGGTGGCTTCACGAATAAAAGTTGCAATGTAATTCGGCTAATATACATATTCAGGCCATGTTCTTATTCAATATGTAATGAATATAAACTATCCAAGAAAGTAGAATAAACGATAGATTGAAAACAGAACTATTACAATTTTGTCTTTGATGTGATAAAGGAATTTATAGTAAAATTAGTACACGTACCCAAACATCACAATTTATGACAGTAAAGGTTTAAATAATAGTATTTGTAATACACTGTAACTCCTTTTGATACTGTTGAATACAATATGGCAAAACGTCTTGTAAAAAACAATAATAGTAATAAGACTTATCTTTGAGCATATAAAATTCCAATAACACTTATTCCCTACGGCCATAACCATATAACCTGTAAATCATATAAACATAAGCATACGGATAAACAGTAATAATATCCAAGTTTCTATATCGATAAGGCTTCGTTTTAAGAGACCAACAAAGCTCATAGATGTTGATAGCGTTTACTCAGCCAATATCCATCTACGCATAGCTTTAGGGAAAAGAAAACTCACCTTCACTCGTTTCCGGAATTGTCGGTATGTAGTCGTAGTTACAAGAGACGCTGTAGCTTGTGTCATTTTGGGTCGAGGTTATGTTCGGGTCTGGTGTTTCCCAGTTGTCTGGAAGTAGAGAGAAATGGGGGGGGGGGGTTTATTTGGCTCGGGAGTTGGCTATGGCAAGGTCAGACACACGCACTTCCATGCCTACGTGTTGGTCTCAATTAGATGTGATTTAAGGCTACTAAACATACACAGCAGGCCTTGTCCCTCGTACAGACTATGTATCTAATGTATTTTGTTCCGTAGTTTCGTGGAAGCATAATTATTTCTTTCTTCTGTACTTTTCTTGTGGAA